TTGGCTCAACAGTTGGAATAACTGAACAAGTCACAGCAACTCTTCCAATCTTTTCTCGCTTGTGCCTTCGTTTCCAGCAATATCAACTGAACGTCAGAGTTCAAACTGAATTAGTTCAAAGTTACTTGCCGACGTCTAAATTCTGTTCGTGTAAGAATAACGTTTTACACAGCATGTAATTATATTCTCCGAATGTAATATCAGGCGTCGACTGGGCTTGCAAAGCCAGTTCATCCAGATCCATTTTGAGAAACAGAAAAATCATAACTTCCTGGTACGGCTATACGAGAATCAGCGAGAAGTGCGGCCATGCGTTCTGATGTGACGGCGTCATCGGGTACGATTCGCTCTGTCCTCTACCCAGTAGCTGACCATCTAGCGTGATACTCTGCCCACGGTTTCTCCCCCGTCGTTATTCTATTAGTGACCGTGCTTCGCTGCCGCGCAGCGTCGCTGGCAATACGATCATGTCTATGCGACAGTATGACTATACGATGAGATAGTCCTCATTGCTCGGCTCGTTTTCCCAGGTCGGACGTCCTCGATGGACTTGGACACAAGTGAATGTGCCTTCTGAAGGCGTCGAATGTTAACCACTTGACCCAACAGACTTGAACGACAATAATTGTAAAAGGCAGTGTGCCTAGCTGCTGGTCATCTGACGCGTTCCGTAGTTCCGGATAGGAGAACCACCACCAGACATGGGGGTTGTTGTGACGATTCAGCAGTGGCGAACACGCAGCTGTGGGACAACCAGAACGTGACTGAGTTCGAGCTGGACAACTTCGATCCTAGAGAAAAGGTCCCAATGGCAAATGACAGTCTCATGTCGAGGCGAAAGCGCCCCCCCCCCATTTGAAGATTAAAGTCCGCAAATATCCCGACTGCTTTGCGATTATGCATCGACTCGTCAAGACCAAAAGAAGCAAAGACATCAACACGAAATGGCGGGAAACTGTACGAAATTCGAAAGGGAACTGCAGCACAGCGCATAACATCTGTACATTAGGTTAACTTTTGGAGCGCACAAGGCAATTCCAGCTCCATCTGTGCATAGCCATCGCTGACTACGAGAAAGCGTTCGGCCCTGTGGACTGCTCAGACTTTAAATCAACATATCAAAGGAAGCGAGATTTGGCAGCTTCACAACATCACGCTGCTCGGCACCCCTCCCCTAGGGGTTCCCATAGAGAAAGGCGTGATTCAAGGGGACAATACCACCTCCACACTCCTCACCGTTCCTCATCGTCTGTTCGAAAATGGTGCTCCGGAATGTGAACCGAAACGGTGAGACTGGCATCATCGGTGAACAGCCCAGCGACCTAAGACTCGCTATGACGTAGTGTTATTTGCGGAAAACGCCAATCAACTACAAGACATCCGCAAGAGCTCGAAGAAAACAGTGCCGAGGTCTGACTGCGAACCAATCGGTCAATGAAGGAGATGCGGCGATTGGATGCCATGCCGATGATGCAGATAATTCGAAACGGTGAAAGTTCGAAGAAGATTATAAATACCCCTAGCTGGGCCGTGAGATTAACCCTTCCGCATGATCAGGCTGGAGGGATTAAACAAGGATCGATTGCCGCACGTTCCATTTCGTCAAGAATGCTCACTCGACAACAGCAGGACAGATACCCGTTCCGAACTCTTCAATTCCACGATCCTGCTGGCAATGTTCTGTGGCTGTGAGACGTGGTCCTTCACTGAAGCTGGAAAGCAGTAGTTGTACATCACAGAGAGAGCCAGGGAAAGAAGAATGTCGGAAATCTCACATCGGGACCTCATCCCCAAAGACGATGATCAGCTGACGGACCAGAATAAAGGACGTTCTTCGTCGAAGGCAGAAGTGGAAGCAACGGGGTGCTGAGCACGTCGCTTGACTCAGTGATATAAGATAGTCGGCAGTGATCACCGATTGGTAACCTCGCCAGTAAACGAGGCTGCTTGGTCGTCCATGACGACTGTAGAAAGATGATGTCAAGAGCCGGGAAGACGGCGCTTGGAGTGAGAAGGCTCGCAACTGCGAGGAATGGTGCGCATATTGCGGACGGCGCGATTCGCCACCGATTGTTGGCCGGTTCAAGTGATACAAATTATCTTAATAGAGTTAAACAGCCCAATAACTTTCCATTTGTTCGTATAAGCCAATCATTAGTTGTTACTCGAGTCTTACGAAAATAATTCCCTTAAACAATGAATTTATTTGAGCTTGCTTGGATGTAACTATGCGAGAAACGGCCAGCAAATCATTGACCTGTGAGCAGCAGAAATAACATGGAGTTCGAGCATGATCATGCCAGAGGGCGGAAGCTTATGAACATGCTTCGATTCGTGTGCGTTAGAACATCGTTCGCCTCGACTCACCTGATAGCCGAATAAAACTGATCATAAAGTGGAAATCACAAACTTTGTGCTACAACAATCATAAAATAATAGAAAATCATAGAAATATAAATCACAAAAGTCATAAATTAGGTGTGCTACAGCAGGCGGTAGTGGAATACGACAGCTCCATCGATTGCCATGCTGTTCAACAGATATTCCAATTTGCCCAATGATGCGTATCATAACAATATCCAAGCGGTACATCCAAACGCTCCTGTCTGTGTTTGAAAGTCATTGTTCCAAAGTCCTTGAAGTTGAACACATGCTATAATAATGATCCATCACAGACAATTGCCTTTTAGCTAGGCGATATTCTGATGCTGTTGATCCTGTGCGAGAGCTGTTCAGTCGGTAAGCGTCCGACTCAGAGCCTAGAGATCCCAGGTTCGAACCCTGGTTGGATCGCTCATCTTTCTTCCTTCAGAGGCTGATAAACGAGTATCACTCTCTGGCAAGGAAACATGTGACTACACACTTTACTTGCCACGTAACCGCGCTCGATGGTGCTTTTAACCTGGACGGTCTTCGCTGATAGCAGAGAAGTAGAAATCAACGTCCCACCATCAACTTCGTGAATTGAGTGGCGCCAGAAATGGTCTCATCATGGAAATAGAAGGAAGTCAGATATTCAGGCGTTTACTAACGTTCGTTTTTCTTTTGATTCTTTCAGCGTTCATCGCTCACTCATTGATGATCAGGGAACAGGATCCCTGCTTATCTGACCTGATCTAAAATCTACAACTTAGCTTGAATTACAGAAGTAAGGATTGTTTTGCTTACATATTCGACGTATCACCTCAGTTACTACCGAGCATCAAAATAGCGAATGTTAATATTCATTCACAGAATGAAATTCTAATGACAATGGGGTTAACGAAAACCTAAACGTTGTTTACACTTGAATGTCGAAACTGGTAAAGACATGACTAACGTTTTGCGCCAGCAATTACCAGCGTTGTGCGATATCCTTGCGTATGTTCGTCTTTACTATATTGGAAAGACGCTGCTGCCTGGAACCGAAATCAGCGAAGGGTTTCCATTTCTAGTAGTGAACAAGTCTTTTTTTCAAACTAACCCTAGCAAAGGGAGTGAGGTCTTAAGGTCCCAGGAGTTAAGAGCCGATCACCTGTCCTTATTTCGATCGCTGCTGCACTTTCTTCCAGTGCCAGACGTTGCGCGGTGAACTTGAAACGTAATGGTCTTACACAAAGCCTGAGTGACTGCAAAAAACTTGGCTGCAGTTTGTGACGCTTTTATTGCCGAAGGCCATTTGCACTTTTAAGGAGGTGCCCGTTTTTCTGACTCCCTCACGTTGAACACTACGGCGTTCGGCGGTCGGTGGTCGGCGATCGTTGACCTTTCACGAAAAATGTCACTGTCACATCGTTTGTGTGCTGCGTCTTTATTTCGGTAGCTCCGGCGTCGAAACAAGAACCGAACCGTCGTTTGAAAGTGACACGCCGCAGCACAAGGTGATCCGGTCTTTTTTAGATCAATCGTTTATGCTGTTAGTAAACTGGTTTAAGGCAACTGTAAATAATGAAACAAAAAGTTGTATAATTGTGATTAATTATAAATAGTCGCTTCAAGCGGTTCCGCACATGCATACAAGCGGCTCGTGCCGTTGCGGGTCGTCCCCTGACTCAGGCATGCCTTTCGTGCGCCCTCTGCCGCTGCCACTACTGCTGTCCGGGCCGCTGCTACGGGCGTTGATCGTCGTCTTGATGCCGCTGTCGGCTCGAACGCAAGGTGTGGTCGTTGATGACCGTCGTCCAGTTTACTCGACCTGACCGAGGCTGGTTTTCTTTTTAGCGGCTGCCCACCAGACACACGTCTTGAACGCAGTTCAAGCGATGTCAATCGTTGATGAGCACAATCGACTCCGGTCCATGGAACAGGCGACGAATATGCAGGAATTAGTGAGTAAAAATTGTTAATTCAGGTTGCGTCTGTGTCAAGTATGTCCCTTCTTCGACTAGATCGAAAAGACAAAGGCTAGATTCGAATGGAATCGGTTAAAATGGGTTTACCGGTTTAAAGGAGATTATATAACATTCGTGTGAGGTGGCTAAGCTGCCCTGCAGTGAAGTTCCGGAACTTATCAAAATTAGCGTATGGCCATTCTACGAAGGGCCAGGAAGTACAATGATGAAGGTCGTGCAATTAGTGAAAGAATGTAGCTTCTAAAAAACTTGCGAACAATAGAGAGAACATGATGTTCTCGCATGATCACATAAGGATGAAAGGAATTTACGGCCTTATTATCTATTAGGTGGGCAATTCATATTGACCCACTTGACCGTCGACTATCTAGTGCACTAATTAGAATGAGGTATAAACTTCCAAAAGATGTACGTACTGATGAGGTTAGAAATACAAGGATTAAAGGCTGTGAACTTTTATTATGCAGATTAGCAGTCGAAGTTCAAATGACCGGCATTACCAAACGACATGCAAAGAAAGTACTTGATTATATCAGCATCAGTATTCTTCAACTTTCTTCGCAATGTTTGACCGTTATCTGTCGACAGAATCTTAATTTAGCCCTCCGCCTTAAAAAAATGCAACTGCGATTAAGGTCAGAAAGAGGTCAGAAAAACAAAATCGCCTTTCTCTTTCATCGCCTGGTATTTCTGTCTTTCACTTAAAACAGGTAGAATAATTGGAATGCCTTAGCACCAATAATCTACTGCTAAATGAGGGTTTGAAAGTGATGCGGGACCCCCCTCCTTCCTGTATGCAGACCCTGTGGTGTTGCCCGCCAGTCGCAAGTGATAGCGTTCTGCGATTGGAACTTTACAAAGCGCTCCGCTTCTCTGAATCCGTTGATCTGTTGATCCGGATGAAAGTTAGGAAGATATTTGGCAGCAGTTCACGGGGGTTGGCATCCCGAATGAATTGTCAAACAGTTTCTCCCCAAAAGTAACGCTCAGATATAAACAGAAATCGGGAGAATGGGTGTAGGCCACCCTAGCGGTTTTAACAATACCAAAAAGTCGATAAACCACAGGATAAGATGTGACTGGCAAACAGAACCGAAAAGCCATTAAGATCTTAGTGGCTAGCCATAATGCAAGAACGCTTTGGACAGACGCATTTACTGATGTACACACCACGGAAACGGAGAATATCAATGTAATACAATATTATATATAACATTATCTAATATAATCTGAAGACGGACCGAGCATGGTCCGAAACGTCAGATGTCCCTAGTTAAAGAACATTTTATGCGTTGTCTTCCCGTTGTTTGTGACTATAACATAATATAATATAACGATCTTATCGATTTTTAAACTGAGAAGATGCTCTGCGTTTAGAATTAACAATCGTTCTGCATGCACGCGAT